GAGCCGCGGCACGCCCTCGTGAAAGAGTACGAGGCCCTCTTCTCGGCGTACGGCGTCGAGCTGCGCATCACCTCTCGCGCGCTGCGAGCATTGGCAGCGCAAGCCGCACACAAGCGCACCGGCGCGCGGGCGCTGCGGCGGCTGCTGGAAGGCGTGCTCCTCGAGGCGCAGTTCATCGCGCCAGGCAGTTCGACGCGCTTCGCGCTTGTGGATGAACGAGCCGCGCGAGGGCTGGCACCTGTTCATCTTTACTCGCGAGGAGGGAGGGGCGCCTTTGTTGCCGCGTGGGAAGAGGAGAAGGATGCTCTTCCCTCGGCGCCGACTGCGACGCAAGAACGTGCCGCGCCGATCAAAGGCGACAAGCAGCGGCCTACGCTCGCGGCGCTTCTAGGCGAGAAGCAGCGCGGGCAAGGCATGGGCATCTCGCCTGAAGCGCGCAGAGAGAGACAAGCCATGCTGGCGGCGGCGGAGAAGGCGGCGGCTGCGCGAGGAGCGGCACGGCCGACTCGGCTGAGGCCCTTGGCGTGGAAGGGCAGGGAGGACGAGGCGGCATTGAGACGATGGACGCGCGCAAGACTCGTCAGGAGTAGTCGCGTGGGCAACCTTCGGCTAGTGGCGGAATGAGAAAGACTTTCTCGCTCGATGAACATGTAGTCGCCGACGTGAAGCACGGCGAGCTTAAAGGCCCAGTCTGTTGTGCCGAGCGTGCGTGCCTGCTTGTTAAGGCGCCGGCGCCAGTCTGCCTCCAGCTGCACGGCGCGCTCGAGCGCCTTGCTGACTGGCGCTTGGCGCGCTAGTCCACTGCAGGCAATGATGCCCGTTGTGTACTTGGGGTAGCGCGCAATGGCGCGCTTCTTGTCTTCCTCGCTCGCATCAGCAAAGCCAGCTGTCGCGGACGTCAGAGCATCTGCCTCGAGGCGCAATCCAGACGCTTCAGGTTTTGGCCAAGCAATCAAGACGGCTGCGCGCAAAGCTCCTCTGTTGTCTTCGCCTTTGCGCGGAGCCTCGATGTTGTCAGACACCTCGCTGCGCTTCTCGCGGGCAGACGGCACCGGCAGCCTTCTGCCTGTAGATCTCTCGCCGCAGGGGGACAAGGGTGACTGTGCATCTGCTTTCTCCACTCGCTCTCAGGCGCGCACGCGATTGTCCCGCAGAAGCGCTGCCACCTCGTCGGGGGAGAGGCGCCAGGCCATGCCAGCGGCCTCGGCCTCGGAATACAAATCGCGCGGCGCCTCTGCTCCTGCCTCTGCGCCCTCTGCCGGCAGATCGTCGTCGTCGAGATTGAGCACATAAGAGACTTGCTGCAGGCGCGCAAACTTGTCGCGCACGCTGCCGCTCTTGGAGTGATTGGCGAGCCAGCTGCAGATGGTGCGTACGTCCTTGTCGAAGCGCAAGGCGCCCAGCTGTGGGTGAAGTGGCAAGGGCAACGGCGATGAGCCTCCGCGCGACGAGACGAGGTGCAAGTGTGTATGGACTGACCTCGGTGTAGCGCATGCCCATCGCCAGCTTCTCCCACGAGCGCACGAGCGCATCGAGCGTGAGGCTGAAGTATGCCTCCCAATTGGCCTCGACGAAGAGCTCCTGCGCCGGCGCGTGATCAGAGGGCAGTCCACCGGCCCGCTTCTCGCTCGCAAACTCACCTCGTACCCGGCAAGCACCGTCTCCCAGCCCTTGATGAAGCGCCGTCGCACCGGATCCTGGAACTCTGCCTCGGAGAACGCATCGTCGTCGAGCAAGTACGAGACGTCGCGGTACGCCTCTGTCAGAATGGGCCGCAGTCTTGCGCGCGTCAGCTGCGTGAAGAGCTGATCCATCTCCGTCTGTTGGCGGCGAGAGCGGGGCGCGTCAGCGTGTCTTGCATCCCATCCAAGGCGAAGCGAGAGTAAGGACAACGTACCCGAACGGCACTCTTGATGCGCGTGACGAGCACGCCAAGGCCTTGCACCATCGATGCAACCTCTGCAAGCTCGCGCTCTGCAAAGCTTGCGCCGAGCACTTGCTCCGAGGAGAGTTCGGCCAGTATCCGTTCGGTGTAGTCGGCCGAGACGGAGAGGACGTTGAGGTAGACCTGCTCGTCGGGAAGGGGGGAGGGGGAGGGGGAGGGGGCGTCAGCTTGCCCACGAACACAGCCAGCGAGCCGAGCTACGCACGATGAAGGTGGTGCGCATCTCCCTCGTCGCCGCTTCTTTCCTCGGTCCATCCACCGTCATACTACTGCTAACGCCCCTCCAGACCGTCTCCATACGTCTCACTATCGCCTGCACGAATTCCTCGTCCATCACCCAGCGTGCGGCCTTGGTCATCGCCGCCACTGTCTCCACGCTGGCCGTTGAGATGCTGCGTGCGAGGATGGAACGGAGGACGTAGAAGACATCGTCGAGGACGCTTGAGGTCAAGGGGCGCGCGGAGAGGTCGGGTGTGTCTAGTCGATGTGCCTGCAGTGGGCGATTGCATGAGTGGGACAGCAAGAGCGCAGCGACCGGGTGTGAAAGCCACTCGCCTTCTCGATGCTGATGCGCAGATACCACGTCTCGAGCGGCACGTAGGCATTCTGCAGGCCGTCTGCGAGCTGCTTGCCAAGTGCCGAAGCAGGCACGCCGCTCGGCTGAGTGCTGTCTTCTGCCTCTTCCTCTGCTGCTGCTGTCCCGTTCTCCGCGCCAAGTCGACCCTGCAGGAACTGCTGATACGTGCCCCAGCGTGCAGCCATGCCCGCCAGTTCCGTGAGGAGGCGGTCGACATCCTTGCCGTCGGGACCTTCTTGCTCTACTGGGGTGGCCGTGCCTGTCCCGCCTCCGTTGAGTGGCGTACCAGGGCGTCCTGGAGCACCTCGACTGAGTCCCCGGAGACTACTGGCGCCCAGTGAGGCGACGTATGCAAAGCTGTGCGAGCGTGCGCTGTCCAGCTGATCGGCGCCCCCGCCAGCGTGAGTGCAAAGCTAGGGCTTCAGGGCTTGATTGCGCGACTCACTTTGCGAGGCACCAATCGTTCATCCCACCAAGCGTCCCACACTCTTCTTCCCAGGCGATCGCACTCCTCTTGCAGGCCCGGCATGACGCCCAGCGCAAAGCCTCCCGGGCCGTAGTTGCGGTCCACGAGCGGCTGGTGCTGGTCGATGAGCAGCGCCAGGTGCTCAAAGAGCGACGTCAGGAGCGAGGCATGATGATGCGTCGAGGTGCTTGACCCGCCCACGAGAGCATCCACGATGACTCGTCCTCGTTCTCGCACCATTGCGCGTGCGAATTCGGAGTAGACCGACAGCCCTTCGTTGCGCCAGCCGACGAGAGGGAACATCTTGAAGTATCTTGTCGCTTCAGCGCTGTCTTTCGCCTCTGTGGCAAGCCGGAAGCGCCGTGAGAAGACCTCGAGTAAGGACTCGCGCAGCGAGAGGAGCGTTTGAGGAGGCGCGAGGGGAAGCTCGGCCGACGGCTGCACGGGGGCGTCAGGCGCTGCCCAAGGCCAGCAGGGGCCTGCATACGCACCACCACGGCCGCGGCAAAGTCGGAGCCGAGGATGTCTGCGTCGATGCTCATGGCGCGGATGCAATGGCGCGTCGCTGCGTCCCAGTCGGCCTGCTCAATGGCCGATGCCAGCGAATGCAGTGCCGCCTGCGCGCAACCACTCCTCGTCAGCCCTCGCTGGCGCGCCGCCGCAGCGCCGCCACTCACTCTGAGATCCGCGGTGCGCTGTGCCCAGCGCGCCGCCACGTCGATGCGGCTCTGCTCCTCGTCGAGGCGGCGCACGGCCTCGCTGATGCGCGCGGCGTTGGCCGAGGTGTCTGCCAGGCGGCTCTGCAGCACGCCGGCCTCCTCGAGGATGAGCGCCACCTGCGGCTGCGTGTGTGCGATGCGTGCGCGCGCCGCCGCGACGCGCGGCGCGGCGGCGCCGAGGAGCTGGGCGAGATGCGCATCGAGCGACGCCGAGTGCGCGGCGAGCGAGGCGAGCGTGGCGCGCACGGCGGCGGCCGAGGCGAGCGTCGAGGCAGAGGCGATGCCGGCGTCGGGCGCAGGCGGCGGCAGCGACGCGGAGCTGACGTCGCTCATGGCTGCGCCAGACTGGGCGCGCCGTGGTCGCGTGGAGCACTGCTGCGAAGTGACGCGGATCGAGGCGCCGCCAGCGTCGGCGAGAGGAGAGCGAGGCGAGAGCGAGGCGAGGACGTGGGGGAGAACCAAGGTGTGCTTTCTTGGATCCGCGGATCTGGACGGCGCACAGGCCAGGCAGCACGCAAGGGCGCGCGCGACTCCGAGCCGGACCAGATGCTGCCTTGCATCGCGCCGCTTGCTCTGCCTGCTGCACCGCTTCCCTCCTCTGCACCGCCCTCTGCCTCCATGCCCAGCGCCTGTCCCGAAGCACTCGGCTTCCCTTTCCTTCGCGCACCAAGGCGAGCTGCAGCGCTGCGAGCTCGCTTCGGACAAAGAGCACGCTCCACGCCACGCGCGCGAGCGGCCGAAGGTTGGCGTGGCGGCGCATGCGCGCGCAACGTGCGCCCCACGCTAGCGTAGCGTGGCGGCGGCGGCGGCGGCGAAGCGAGATCCGCGCCCGCCGCGCCGCGCTCGCCGGCCGTGCCGTGCCGCCGGTCCACGCGCGGCCGCCGCCGCCGCTGCACGCTGCGCCGCCCGAGGATGCCGCAGGCTAGACGATAGACCCGAGCACCTCCAGCGCATCGTGCAGGTGCATGTGCCGCGCCGGTGGGTGAGGCGTGCTCAAGGCGCCGCACGGCTTCAGAAGCTTGGTGCAGGCAAGCCAGCAGAGTTGGCCGCCGGCCAACGACGGTGCAGGGGGCAACGTGTGGCCTCCGCATGTGCTCGTGCCCACGACGGCGCTCCAGCTCGCCGTCGACGCTGAAGCCAAGTCTCTGCAGAGAGACGCGAGGGGGTATAAGAGGGCGTCCTGGCACTCCCCCTTGGCGCTGTTCAGAGCAGCACAGACGCATCAAGCCACCTGCAAACGAACGCCAGCACGACACCATGAAGCTCGCCGCCCTCCTGCCGCTCGTCACTCTCGGCCTCGTCGCTGCCGCGCCTGCGCCCGAGAAGCGTGCCTCTGGCGGTATGTGTTCCTGATCCCTCTCTTTGCCCTCTTCGGGCCTCTTCCTTGACGCTCCTTCCTGTCACACAGTGCAAGGCTGCGACATCAGCAACTACCAGCCCAATTTCTCCTACGCGTCGGCCGCCGACGCAGGCGCCAAGTTTGTCATCATCAAGGCGACCGAGGGCACGTCGTACACGAGTCCCAGCTTCAGCAGGCAGTACAGCGGCGCCACCGACGCCGGCTTCCTCCGCGGCGCCTACCACTTTGCCCACCCCGACTCGAGCAGCGGCGCCGCCCAGGCCAACTTCTTCCTCGCAAACGGCGGCGGCTGGAGTGGCGATGGCCGCGTGAGTATAGCCTCCTCGCGCACTTGCGAGCCAGATGCAAGATGCAGAGCAGCCAAGTACTGACGTGTGACGCCCTGCCGCGCTACTTCTCGCAACAGACGCTGCCGGGCATGGTGGACCTCGAGTACAACCCGGCGAAGAACAGCAACTCCTGCTACGGCCTCTCGCAAAGCGCCATGGTCAGCTGGATCCGGAGCTTCACGTCGACGTACTACAGCAAGACGGGGCGCTACCCGATGATCTACACGACCAACGACTGGTGGCGCACGTGCACGGGCAACAGTGATGCGTTCAGCTCGACGAGCCCCCTCGTGCTCGCGCGCTACAGCTCCAGCGGACCGGGGACGATTCCGGGCGGTGAGTTTGACAGGCAGGGGGGGGGGGGGGGGGGCGGCGTCGCCCCGCTTTCTTTGCTTTCCCCGTCTGTGCCCGCTGCATGCTGACACGCACACACACAGGATGGCCGTACCAGACCATCTGGCAGAACAGCGACTCGTTCGCCGCGGGCGGCGACAGCGACATCTTCAACGGCTCGCTCGACGGCCTCAAGCGCCTCGCCTCGGGCTAGACCCGTTTGCTGGCGCTGCCCCCCACGTGCGCGCTGCCGGGCAAAGATGGGGCCGGGCGCACGCAATGCCATTCGTGTGTCCTTGCAGAGATGTGCTGTGTGGCACGTGGAGAGGAATCGAGGCGAGCGGACTGCGCTCGAGAGAGAGAGAGGCGAGCCAGCAAAGCGGCCTGCGGCGGGAGGGCCAAAGCCGCGGAACAAGACGCGCGCCCCGCGCAAGCCGCTCGATGACGTCCGCGCCCCCGCGTGGTGCCGCGTCTCTGGCCGGGGGGGGGGGGGGGGCATTCTTCGCGCGCCTCCTGCTTGCCTTCTCTCCACCACCGCCCCTTGCTCACCTGCGCACCTCCCAGCCGCTCTCATCGCGTACCGCTGGCCGCCTCTCACCGCTCCTCCCTTTCCATACACAGGAGGAGGGGCGCACAAGTCACATGCATCGAGCGCTGCGACTTTGCCCACGTCTCTCCCTGCGCCCTCCCTCCACCTCTGTGCTCGCCTGCTGCGCGCGGCGCACCTTCAGCAGCCCATGTCTCTCTCGCGCTCCTCTGTACCATGCAGCGCCTCGGCTGCCGCCGCGCCGTCGCTCGCAGCGCTGTTCGATGCGCCGCTGCGTCCCGCCATCGGCGGCTCGCCCGCGCTGTACCTGCCTGCGCTGAGCGCACTGGGGCCGCGCGTCTTCGTGCTCTTCGTCTGCGGCAACCCGGGCGTCGCGGATTACTAGTGAGTGGCGCCTTGCTGTGGACAGAGGCAATGGAGAGAACTTAGAGTGCCGAGCGCCGGAAGATGCAGAGTGCGAGCCGCGCGCCGCTGCTCTCGTGCACGCGGCGGCGCCAGCATTCGTGCCATCGAGTTCCCGGGCACGATCGCCGCTCGCCCGCCCGCCCGCGTTGCAGCTTTGCTGGGGCTTTTGCGCGGGCCTGTCTCTGATGTGTTTCCGTCTCTCTCTCTTGGCAGCGAGACGTACCTGCGCACACTGCAGTGCTCGCCTCTACTGCAAGGCCGCCTCTCCTCACTCTGCGTCTCGCACCGCGGCCATGCGGCCTCTCAGCGCTCCACGCGTCTCGCAGACCAGATCGCACAGCAGGTGCAGCTGCTCGACTCGATCCGCGCCTCGCATCCGAGCCAGGAGGTCAAGGTGGTCTTGATCGGCCACTCCGTGGGCGCATGGATCGCGCTCGAGGCGCTCAAACAGCGGCCAGAGGCAGTCAATGCCGTGCACTTGCTCTTCCCGACGGTGGCGTGGATCGGCAAGACTCCAAATGCGGGCAAGCTTCGTGTGAGTTTTCATGTCCAGTCCAGCCCCCTTTCTCTCTCTCTCTCTTGACTCTCTCGTCAAGGCTAATGAAGGTCCGTCGTCGTCGAACAGCCGCTGTTCACCAGCGTCTCCTACCCTCTGATCTACCCGCTGCTTTCCATCCTACAGCTTCTTCCGCTCTTTCTCCTCCACCTCCTCCTGCGCACGCTCCTGCGACAGCCAGAGGAAGGCGCGCGTGCCACTGCGCGCCTCCTAAGAGCGCCAGGTGCGGTGCGAAACGCGCTGTCGATGGGGCGAGAGGAGATGTCGACGATCAGAAAGGTCAGGGAGGAGACGAAGAGCGCCGTCGCGGCACTGGGACAGCGCGGCTTCGTCAGGGCGTATTGGGCAAGGGGAGAAGAAGTGAGTTGGTTGTTGCCCGTTCTGTCGCCCCGTCGCGTGATGGGGGCGTTGCATCGCTGAATTCCTGGGGAGCAGGATCAATGGACGCCCTCCTGGATTCGCACGCAAGTCGAGTCGGAGCTCAGCCTGCAATCTCTTGCTCCACTCCAGCCCTCCTGCCTGCAAGCCAAGCCCGTGGCTCGGCGCATGTCCTCTTTCCTCTCGCTGCGTCGTCGAGCAGAGGCAAAGACAGGTGGTGTCAGTGGCAGCAATGGCGGCAGCACAAGTGGCGGCGCGGGACATAGCAAGACTGCCTCCAGTCCGACGCCCTCGCGCATCCCCGTGGCGGCGGCCTCGCCGCGCCGCCTTGCGCGCAGGCTCGCCGCGGCGGCGGCGGCGCCTGCTCTCGTCGTGCATACCTCCTCGACGCCCAATGGCGCCAGCCTCGCAGAGTCGACTGAGCTCGAGCTCGAAGAGGAAGCGGAAGATGACGGCTCCCTGACGGAAGTCGCCGCCTCTTCCTCCTCCTCCGACGACGAACGCGGCGACGGCGTGGCGCGGCGCCTGTTGTTCAAGACTGCAGCTCCCGCCGCAGAGGAGGGAGCAAAGTGGCCGAGCCTGACGAGCACAGTGTGTGAGCTGGACACGCCGCATGCCTTCTGCCTGAAGCATGGCCGAGAGATGGCCGACGTCGCGGCGACATGGCTCGCGAGGGACTTTGAGACGGAGGTGCAGGAGTAAGCCCCATGTTGTTGTCTCTCGCTTGTAGCTACTACTACTCGTGTGTGTCGGCGACGGGAAAACTGCAAACCTTCATCTCTCTCGAGGGCCTCCGAAGGGTGCCAGGAAGCGCGTGTGGACAGCGGGTGCCAGCCATGCAGGAAGAGAGGGCGCCTTTCTCTGTCCTCTGCCCGGCCAGCTCTGCGCCCCCCTTGTCATCTCTCAACGCTTCACAGCAACCCCCCTCAAGCGCCCCTCAGCCAGAGCAGGTTAGGTTCAGCGGGCGCAGCGTGCAGGTTCCAGTGAGGCAGAAGCCGCGCGCGCCGCGTTCCGAACGAGCAGCGCTGCAAAATGCCCCTCTCTGCCTGGGTGCTGCTTGCGGTGGGACGCATCGAGCCACCACTTGGGCACGCCCTTTACCCCCCGAGCGTGCCGACGCCGAGGCGAGGCGGAGGGTAGGCGAGCCGTGCGCGCGCAGTGTGTGCGGCTTGTGTGTGTGCCCCCCCCAGGGCCGCCGCCCCGCCTCCCCGCCCCCCGCCGCGCCGACGCCCGCTGCCGGGCCCTGTTGAGCTGCGGCCGTGAGCAAGCTGGATGCGGGGGGGGGGGGGGGGGGCAAGCGGGTGTGTGGGAGGGGTTGCTGCGGCCATGCCCCGGAGGCCGATGAGATGACGGAGCCGCGCCCATCTTTCTGCGCCTCCTCTGCGCGCCCCCTCTCCGTGCCCTCCCCTCGCCGCAGCCCGCACTCCGCAGCAGCGCCAGCCGCAGCATCCCACCTCGCGCCGCGCCGCGCCCGTTCTCTTATCGGCCGCTCACGCGCGCCAAAGGCGTCATCCGCGCCGGCTGCGCGTGCCGCGCGCTGCGTGCTGCTGCGTCGTCAAGGGCCCCGCCGCACCGAGGCGCGGCCGAAGGGGGCTTGCCGCCGGCCAGGGCACGGCAATCTCGGCACCGCGCGCGGCTGTGCGCCTCCACGGCGCGCGTCTTTATCGGCGCGCGCGTGCGGTGCTTCGGTCAGCGAGGCGCCGGCGGCTCAGCGGCTTGAAAGCGCACCGCGTTCGCCCGCGCGCTCACGCGAGCCTTTTCCTTCCCCGCACCCAAGCTTTCGTCAGCCTTGCCTCTCCTCCTGCTTCCTCTCCACATCCACCAAATTCAGCAGACGCCGCACCGGAGACCAGCTCAGCTACTCGTTTGCCTACTGCCTTCTTCCTGCCTCTCCCCCAACACACACCAGCGTCGCCAATGGCCATGCGTGCCTCGTCTCTGCTGCGTCTGCCCTGGACGCGCTCGCCGCACCTGTCGCCGGCGCAGGCCCTCGCGCTCAACACCTACCTCGTCGTGGCGCACGACTCTTCTGCGCCGGGCGCGCTAGAGCGGCGCATGGCCGTGCGCGAACAGCACCTGGCCGATGCGCGCGTCGGCAAGCAGCACGGCACCATTGGTGAGTCCTCTCGAGAGAGGCCGCACCACGCGTGAGAGGGCCCCCGCACACGGCGTTTTCTCGCGTGCATAAACAGTCTAGGGCGTGCTCCGAGGGCTTCCCTCGTCGTCGTCGGGGCGCCTTGCCATACCCCGTGTCGCGCCGGGTATCACAGATCAGAAAGAGCCCGCCTGGCCCCTTTTTGCTCGCGCATCACGGCTGACCACCCTTCCCCCCCCCCACCACCTGCCCCCCAGTACTCGGCGGAGCTCTGCTCTCGCGCGACTTCGCACAGCTGGGTCCCGAGGGGCCCAAGGGCGCCATGGCCGGCAGTGCGCTTCTCGTCAAGGCACAGGTGAGTCGGGGGGGGGGGGGGGGGTCCAGCCTCACAGCCCGTCCTTTTCCACTGCCTTCTTCTCAGCCCCTCACCCTCTTCTTTCCCTTCCCCCCCCCTTTGCCCTGCCCACAGTCCCTCGAGGAGGTGCGCGAGCGTCTCAATGCCGACGCCTACGTCACGGGCGGCGTCTTTGATGCCGCTCGCATCGCCATCTATCCCTTCCAACAAGCCATGGCTTCGCCCGCTGTTGCTGCCACCACGCACACGCAGCCCTTCTCCGCACTCGACGTCGACGCCGCGCTGGCCGACTCCATCGCCGCACGCGCCGCAGCTGCCGAGGGCACGGCGCCGCCGAGTCTGGGCTTTGAAAACCCGCGGGCTCCGCTGGCGGAGCTGCGTCCAAAGAAGAACAAGAAGAGCTCGGCGCGCAGCAGCAGCAGCAGCGCCCAGAAGCACAAGGCAAACGCCACGCTCGGACAGCTGAGAGAGAAGCCGGCGGCGCCCGTCACGCTGCAGGGCTTGCGCTCGATGAGCACCAAGATCTAAAGGAGACGCTGCTCTCTCAAGCAAACGAGCGCTTTTGCAACCGAGGGAGAAGAAGAAAGCCTCCAAAATCAGCCTCGTCTTCGCTGTGGCGCCGTGTCTCGCCCCCCCCCCCCCCCTTTCTCAGCGGGTCTCAGTGGCGCAAAAGGGCAGAGGGCACTCTTCAATTCGTCTGTCTTGGCCCCGCAAACGCTCTTCTCGGCTGCGTCCGCGCCGCGCGCCTCCCACTTTTCACTTGCACTCGCTGCCGTCACGCTCTCCCTTTCCAATCCTCTGCGCATCAAAAAGTCCCGCAAAAAGGCAGCCCGTCTGCCCTCGCCCGCCTCGCCACGCCTCGCACCTCCATGACACCTCTCTCTCGACGACCGCCTTTCTCTCGAGACGGCACACAAGCCCAGCGCCCTCGCCTCCGATACCAGCTCCAGCGCACCTCCAATGTCGCGCGCGCCGTGCACGCCCGCCAAGCCTTGCCAAAAAAAAA